TTTTGTGTTTCTAGTTCAGCTTTCGTCACTCGAAAATTTTACCTCAAAGAGGTGTTTTATTTGATAGACTTTACATACAAAGAACATTTCTATTTAAAGCAGCGTTGGGTAGAGAGAGCTTTTACACTGCTCGCGCCTATACAAAATGTATAGAAAGCTTAAAAGAGCTTTGCCCGCGGGCAAGGCAGTGCCTATCCAGTGTTGCCATTTTAGCCGTTTTCCGGCTAGATTTAGCCGGTTGCGATAGCAAACAGCAGGAGAAATTTCGGTTTAGCGAACAGCTGATTTGTTAGCCGTTTTGTAAAAAAAAAATTAGCCGTTTTTAGCCGATTTTGCTATTTGCCCTGTTTTCTCAAAATTCAAATATACATATATATGTTTCCATTTTTTACTAAGCGACCCAAAATCTGTTAAAAATGGCTACTAGCCTTATCATGTCAGGCAGGGTTATATAAACTTGGGCCGATTTCGCTTATTTTAATTTCAAACGAATATATTTTTTTTTAACCCATATCATCCCAAGCATGTTTAAACTCCTCACGTTAGTACCCTCCTGAACAACAGCATATATTGAAAACAAAACAGTTGTATTCAGGTTTTCGTTTTTAGTACCGTTCCAAAAATGGAACAATAGGAAGATATGCCTCTGTAATAACTATATTGTGTATGTAGTTTCAGATGATATAAAATAAAAGGTTCTTGTGTTTTTTGTTTATTTCTTTAATAAAAAAGTACTTATAGTAACACATACATATCTTATAATTTATATAAAAAAGTTAGATATGTATAAGATAAGATACAAATTCTTTACTTTGTATGAAAAACTGGAGAACATTTTTGGTGTAAAGCAGCGTTGCATTTTTCGCATTTCATGGTAGTATTTTTATGGCACATACCACAGCGGCTTTGTTTGTTATTTTTTATTATGTGATGTGCCTTGTCATCTAGTCTTATACTAGTTGAAACTCGTTTGATGACCGCCAGAGAAGATCTTGGCAACAAATTTTTCGTAGTCGAAGGTGAGGTTACTGGTATAGTTTTTGTCGAAACATACGATGTTACAATATATCTTCAGTTCAAAAACTTCTGTATCAAAAAAAAGTTCGAAAAACTGTAAAGGATTGTCAAGATCCCCTAGAAAATTAGGTGGCTCTGAGACCTTTTCTAGTTTCTCGGGAATATCTGTGTGCGTCCACTTTCTTTTTGTTAGGCATCTTTTTTTTAATGGAGGAGCTAACGTTGCGGATGTAGTGGGTGTTTCATTAGTTTCATCTACGACTGAGTCATTCAGAAGGTCTTCAACTGTGCCCAATTCATTATGAGATGCTACTGTTGCTCGAAATTCAGCTTCCGCTAATAGCTGGCATCTTGACAAATTGTTTATATTAGCAGATTCCTCATCGCCGCTATCTTCGTCGCTCTTATCGTTATTTTCCGGTGGCGTTATGTATATATCTGCGGACAATACATCGTCATCTTCTTCTAGTTGTGAAATAATTTCATTTAAGGACAATCTGAAACGAAGCCAAATAAATAACTGAACAAAACTAAGTCCACTTCTGCATACATCTTACATTGGTATATTATCCTACTGTTCCAATAGTGGAACGGTATATATAGAAGAACAAAAAAATACACTAGCAAGTTAAATTTTTGTTTTGTTGTGCAATGATATTGTAAATAAACTTTCGACTTATAAAAATTAAGAATAATAATGTGGAATATCATAGCTATAAATAAAAATGACTTACATTTTGCGACGAAAGATTTTCTTGCCCAAAATTTCTGCAAAGAGCACGAATTGAAACACAAACTAACTGCTACACCAAGATTTTAATACTAGAGTTTAAATGCCGACTCCTTCAGTGTTGTCACTACACAAAAAGAATTACGATGACATTCGCATAAAAACAAAATAAAATCGTAATAGCAACCTATCCAAAAATGGAACACTAGGATGATATGGGTTAAAGAAGGCCGTAACGGGGATTTCCTCCATAAAGTGTTTGTTATGACTGTCTTAAATTTAAGTGTGAAGTATTATTCGCAAACTTAGAAAATAACAGATTGTTTCACTGTTTGTTTAAAACACGTTTGTGTTTGGATATAGTGCCAACACATAGAATAAATATTACAGGTATTGTCTTTTCAGATAACGCATATTCAATTCTGCCTTCTGTTAAAGGTTTACGGTAAGGAAAAAATTTATATTTTCAAGCACTATGTGCACATATGTATTTTTTAAGACAAATTTTTTTGCTGAGAACTTATTTAAATTCCAAAAACCGAACGCCAACTTGAATTAAAAAAACCAACACTGAAATACGTTAAAATGAAAACAAAAGCCAAACTCTCTGGGAAGACAATAGGTTTGTTCTTCGAAAATCCAGCGAGAATTATCACTCTAAATATCAGATAGTAAGAAAAAATGCTCCTAAATTCTCTATCAAGTAGATAAACTTGCAAATTTCTGCACGAACGCAAATTTACAAGAATTTGCAAGTTTCCCTGCCAGCTAGGCTCCACGGTTGCGTTTCAAACATAGTAAATTTGTGTAGATAGTATAAAAAGAGGATCAACATATATATTTCTTGGTAATCAGACTTTTTTCAACATACGTTTCAATTTCTTTGTCGTAGTAACTGTCGGGTTTCCTAAATCGACTCTGGTTGCGATTGCATTCCGATTACGAATACAGTTTTTTTCTGCCGAGTACCTTTCAAATCATTGGAATTAACTAAATTAATTAAGCAAGCAAGTATTAACTTACATTTTTCATTTTAAAATTGCTCAAGTTTGTACATTTTTAAATTTAACGAACTTGTTTGTTAAAATTATCGTCGACAAAAAATCCAACCATGTGCCACAATCATATGTTTTTCCTAATTGCGAATTCTCGCTGGAAAAATTTTTTCCAACTTCAATTTGCAACTTCTCTCCAAGAACTAGTTAGTTTTTCTACCTGTGATTTATTTAAATAAAACATGTGAAATTTAGTTGAAACAGTTTAGCCGTTTTTTTCGCCAATTTAGCCGGTTGGTCCAAAAAGTTCTGGCAACACTGTGCCTATCAGTAATTTAAAGCAACAAAATAAAACCTTTATAAGAGCTGTTTTCATTATAAAGGTTTGCTCAAGCAGCAGCGGTATAACTCCGTATGGTATGTTTGCTCATGTATGGATATACATATATACATTTGCATGTACAGTAAAACCCGCTTAAGTACCTCACGAAAAATGTCAGTTTTTTGAGGTACTTAGGCGGGTGGGGTACTTAAAAGAACCTCGATGCGGGTACTTAAGCGAACATAATTATTGAAGTAGTTACATCTTCTTGTTACCTTGCATAATATGTAAATCCTTGATTAAAACATGAAAATTTAATGAAGAATACGTAGCTTAAAACCAAGATCGTAGCATTATTTAAACCGATAAACAAATAAAGAAAAAATATATAAAAAAAAAATAGATAAACCAATTGTTTGTAATTATTGAAAGAATCAAGTTCTTTAAAAAGTCGTTGATTATACATATTTATATGTACATACATACAAACAGTGTTGGACATATCATTTTGGACCAACTTCAGAATAATATTGTTTGCCACTTCTGTTTATTTATTAATTTTGAAGATTTTTCAATTAAAATACGGTTAATTCCCTAACAAATACCATATAAACCTAAGCTTAAGATTTTTAAGAAAACTTTAAACAAAATTCATCAAAATTTCAAACATTTTCTCATTTTTATTGCCCATTAAATTTTATTGTAATAATGTGCTAGCTTCAACTGGCTAAAAATTACACTCAAAAAAAACTTCTCTTAATGAAGAAAAATAGCAATCAAAATGAAGAAAAATGGGAGCGAAATAGCACTAAAGAAGTTTTATCTTCTTTCCATGCCCGACATTTCTTCAAAATGATAGACATCCACGGTTCCATATTTTCGTGTACGCTTTTACACATTCCAAAGAAAAATTACTTAAGCGGGTTTGACTGTAGTTAACTTACATACATACCCAGTAGAAATTCTATGCACACAACATCGCTGTTGGTGGTATGAGCTTGCTGCTGTGTATGTTTATCTTCATCTAAAGCAGGGATCACAAGATTTGCACATTTTAACATTTACAAAGTGGTGTTGTTTGAAAGGTGTTATTGAGCTAAATTCATTATTTCTAGACAACACCACTCTGTGACTGCCAAAATGTACAAATCTGTACAAATGTACAAATCGTGCGATCCCTGCTTAACAGCTTCTTTACAGCGTGTTCACTACTGCTAGTGATAGCCGAGCGTAATTTGCCGGGGCAACTATGTAATGCAGCGTTTTTGCTGCATTTAAAATTCAACATTTACCACTTTCGAACATATGTTTTCAAAGAGCGTTCATGCTATCGCATTTAGCAAATGTACATTTACGCGAGTTCGAAATCGTATGCATTTGATAAACAGCCGTGTTCCAGTCGCTTATTCAGATCCGTATCTATTACGATCAATTCTCACGTAGAAGGAAAGGAAAAGGAAAAAAATAAATTTGAAACCAAAAATTCAATACAAAAACTTGAATGATTTTAACCATAACCGAACATTTGTTTCCTTACATAATTAGGAAACAAAACAAACAGAGTTGATCACAAATTGATCCAGATTTCTATCAGCATCACATCGACGTTGAATTTGCGTAACTTTTCTTTATCCAAATAATGTAAAATAATAAATGAAATATCGATCGGCGATCACTGAAACGCAGCTAGCCACTGTATACTCGAAAAAGCAATGTTGCCACTTTTTCTCATTCAACTATGTTCGAATCGTGGAAATTTTAGCATTTAGATTCTTAATGCAAAAATAGAGTTACATTTAGGTGACGAATTTTGTATGGATAAATGTACAGTTAGAGTAGCATTTAGAGCTAAATGCGCTAAATGTGCTTTTACGCGTAAGCAATAACATCCCATTAGATAGCTTTAGACAGTGGTATGATAGATTCTATTGTGAATTCCTTGGTAAGATAAAATACCAGAAATTAGTTTGAATAAATCAGCTGTTAACCTTGGGATATTTCTATACGAATTTCTGTAGAGCACCTACCAGGTGTGTGGTTTGTACTTGATCTGAATGCTTAAATTAAATAACACACCGATTTGTTTCTGATAATGCTCCTAATTCGTGACACATTGGGCGCGTTCATATTGTCTAACCGTAGACTGTTTGTCCTAGAAACGCACAGTTGAGTAGTTCCGCTCAGTTCAACAGTTGCCAACTTTCCGCCATTTTTTCCACCGTATAATTTTTTCGCTACCTGAACTCAACGTGTTTTGCTCAGCCTAAACAGATGATCGAAAATATTTACGCCGCTTATATTAAATGTACTACGCTCATAAATGAAGAGTCAGCCCTTAATAAAAATAATATGTCCTGGTTATATAAAATAAAACTACAAAGGTCAAAATAAAATAATGTAAAAAAAAATATTTTTTAAAAACAAGCTTTTATTTAACATGTACAATCAAAGTAATAAAATAAAGTAGTGTATTAAAAGATTTTTTAGCAAGAAAATTTTGTCAAAACTTTACTACGTTTTTAGAAAAGCTTGTCGGCGAATTCAGCGTACATGCGTAATTGGTTAGGTATGTATGTATATGTATGTATGCAGATATTTAAATGCCTCTTTGCTATTCGCGTGACAAACTTTTTCAAAAACGAAGTAAATTAGTACAAATGGTTAGTGATTTTCATTAGAGTTTGAGTAACTAAAGTAAGTGAGTAAGTTTGAGTTTCACTAAATGGCTTTTAGTAACTTTAACGAGACCTTTACTTATTTTATTTTATTCATTTTAGTGCAGTTTTGACAAAATTTTCTTGCTAAAAAATCTTTAATACACCACTTTAT